GTTGTTAGTGATTCAGTAAATCGTCTGAATCGGTCGGAGCGATCTGCTTGCAGTTCCGTAGTCAGCTGATGTGTTAGTTTATTCAGTTTTCGTTTATCTGAAGGGTAACGTGTTCTTTGCCATTCTTTACGAGCTTGTCTTTTTGATCGTATAAGGTAGTGAATATAAAGCGGTACGTTAATGTGCTGAGAATATGTGTTTTGTGGATATGTGTGAATTGTTGAATCACTGATCGATTCAGTTATTGATAATGTGAATTTTTCGATTGCAGTGTCTATTTCGTGGTATGTTTAAGGGGGGTTTTGAGATTTATTTTCTGTTCCAAATGTATTCCAAATTGTTTCCAGTCTACTGGACCGTGTATTAATGTAGCTGTAGGGCATTTGGAATGGGATAGGTGTCGATAGTTAATAGAACAGGACTATGATCCGATGAGAGATCATTCAATGTACAAACATGGTGGTGAAGTGAAGAGAGTTGGGATGTAATGAAGAAGTCTAGGAGATCTGGGCGTTTGTTAGTAGCAGTGGGCCAATATGTAGGATCAGGAGGAGATATGAAGAGGCGTTGGGCGGAGAGGACACTGTGTAAGACACGACCTCGTGGATTAGCTAACCTGCAGCCCCACTGTGGATGCTTTGCATTATAATCACCACCGGACAGGAAACGCGGGCCAATGCACTGGAAAAAGGAGAGAAACTGTTGGTGGGAAATGTTATGATTTGGTGGACAATATACAGCTGCTATAGTAAAGTTGAAGGGTGTGGAGGACAATTTGATGGCAGTGTACTGTAAAGATACAGAAGATTGGCTAGAAATTAGATAATGGTTTAACGTGTTGTGAATTAAGATAGCGGTACCTCCACAAACAATATCCATGGGATGGTCAGTCCTGTAAGTCCTGAAATTTCGAATGTAAAAATTAGATCGTGATGTAAAGTGTGTCTCCGTAACCAGTACTATGTCTATTCTTTTTTCTTGTAGAAGTATTTCTAGTTCGTTGAAGCGGGAGTTCAAGCCGTTTGCATTCCATAAGAGGAGAGTTAGAGGGTGATGAGATGGCATTAAGGGTGCGTTCGCGAAACGGGTGAGACAAGCTTCTCAACGAGGGTTGTAAGAAGAGAGATGAGAGGGCTGATGAGAGAGCGGAATTCGTTGATAAAGGTGGACATCATTGAAGTTAGGTCTGAAGAAGTGGAAGGAGGAGGAATGAAAGAAGGAGTAGGGTTTGGCTGTGGTTGTGACTGAGATGGTCCTTGGACGGCTTGGGTGTAGCTAACGCTGGTTCGACGAGCGTGGTCAGATCTTACTTGCTGTGGTGGTGGTGGAGGAGTATTCGACTGGTGTCTTGATTCGGAGGAATTCTGTCTTCTTAGCCGTTGTAAATCTTTGTGTGTGATGCATCCTCTGTAGTTGGCTGGATGATTACCATTACAAAGCGAACAAACAGCTGGAGTTTCCTTTGATTTTGTACAATGTTCGCTCCAATGATATCCTGCGCATTTCACGCACCGTGGTGCATGGTGGCAATATGATCTGGTGTGTCCGTAATTTTGACAGCGCTTCAAGAGATTTTCTTATTTTTGAACGGTTCTTCTACACGTATACGACAACCGTAGAGATGGGTAATCATAAATATATCCTGATTATTTGGTGAAGGTTCGAGGTCCAAAAAGAAAAGCGGCAGTTTGATTTTTGCTGCAGATTGGATGTTCCTAACATTTCGGAATTTGAAACCGAGTTCTTCTACTTCTTTTTCTATTTCATCTGGCGGGATGGAGGGATGAATGTTTCTTAACACAACTCTAAATGCTCGTTCCTCTTTTAATTGGTAGGTGTGGAAGTCGCACTTTTGTGCTTTAAATATGTGTATTAGTTTTCTATAATCGTCAGAACTTTTCACGCAAACAATGGTGCAGTCAGTTCTTGCCTGACACTGGAAATAATTTTCTCCAAGAACATCTTTTATGCTTTTATAAAACAAGGTAAAGTCAACTATGTTTCGAACGAAGATCGGTGGAGGCTGTTTGGAGGTGTTATTTTGTGAGTTTGCATTCATATTTGGTGTTATTTGTTTTGGCTGGTTTTGAATTTCGTCGTCGTCATCTACAGCGAGAACTCCAAATTTATTTGGTGATATAAAATTAGGAGTATGTGTTGTAGATAGTAAATGATTGGAGGATGAGGTAGAAGCTATTCTATTAACATTTGCCAGATCACTATTAACAGCTGACAATGATAGGCTATTTGACTCCATTTTTGAGTTTTCACGGCTCGCAGATCGTGATCTAATTTCGGATTGGTCTATTATTTCTTCACCAGCATTTCGTTTTTTAGAGGAGGCAGGAAGAATCTTCGTAGTACCAGGTCTTTTGCTTGGAGACATTTTTTCCCCCAGCGCAAACACTTTCTGGGTTTTTAATGCTGCGACTAATTGTTTTCAGTACTTGAGGAGCCGGCAACAGCCGACATTGGCCAAGCAATGAATATAATATAAAAGGAGCTCACCTGAATCAAATATTATGCTTGAACGCTCAAATTGACCGGGAGAGCAACCTTCAGCCGCTAGCGGCGACGAGAAGCCTGAAATATTTCTGATTTCTGGCTGAATCGTCTAAATTCGAGAGAGCACCTAATACACACTAAACTAGACCAATCAGCTGGTGTTTTCTCAACACCTAACCATCCCTCAAAAAGCAAAATGTAATTTCGCCTGATAATCACTAATATTACATATGTTTCTATCCCTATTGTTGTTTTTGAAACAAAGTAATAATAATTATTGAATGAATAATTCTATACAGAAATCGCAATGTTTTTAAACCAGCAAACAGTAACATTCCCACATCATAGGAAGTTGGTTTATCAACAAGTGCAGACTATGGGAAACGACCTTTTCGACTTTCTAATAAGGTTAAACAAGAAAATGTCACCAGACTATTAGGCGTTCCTGATCGATGATATAATTATCAAATTGAAAAATTAAAAAATCATAATAATTTCACGAGATAATATAAATATAATAATAAAAAACCGACAGTAGTGCTTATGAATTGAACATGACTACAAAAACCTACCTATACTTTAATTGAATGTTACTACAAAAGTATTATCACTGACTAACTAAAATTACCTTTTATCGGCTATTCCGGGGGACAGTTCCGAAGAACGTGGGTTCGAATCCCATCCGTGACATTGGTATTTTTATCTCAAATTTCGTCGTTAAAAATTAATTTATAAATAATATAATAAATAGGATTGAAGACGAGAAAAAAAACCTTAATTCTACAACTAAACCACCAAAGAATTGACTACTAGTGGTACAAAGACTTGACGTCAACGATTGACGACTACTGAATTGACTATTACTACAAAGACTATCTTCAACACCAACGGCTGTCACAGAATTGATTACTTCAACAAAGTCATTAACACCAGTAACTAAGCCACTACCGAATTGACTAGTACTACAAAGACATTGCCAACAACAATTATCTACTACTGAATTGATTACCATCACAAAGACATTGACGCCAATCTAACTACCACTGAATTGACTACAAAGAAATTGACGCCGACTAGCTACCAAGAATATCTGCAATTGTTAACATCGTTATCGAAGCATACACTGAATTGACTATTACTACAAAGACAATCTTCAACACCAACGACTAACTGTCACTCCATTGACTACTTCTATAAAGTCACTGACACCAATAACTAAGCCACCACAGAATTGACAACTACTACAAAAACATTGACACGAATGATTAACGACCACTGAATTGACTATCATCAATGTCTATTGACACCACCGATTAACTACCACTGAATTGACTACAAAGACAATGACAACAACGATTATCTACTACTGGATTGTCTATTAATACAAAAACTATCGTTAACATCAATGGCTAACAGTCTTTGAATTGTCTACTTCTACAAAGTCACTTACACCAGTAACTAAGCCACTACAGAATTGAGTAGTTCTACAAAGACATTGATAACAACTATTATCTACTACTGAATTGATTACCATCACAAAGACATTGACGCCAGCGACTAACTACCACTGAACTGACTACAAAGAAATTGACAACAACGACTACCACCAAAAATATCTGCTGTTGTTATCAACGCAACCACTGAATTGACTACTAGCACAAAAAAATACATACCAACGACTAACTACTTCTACAAAGTCACTGACACCAATGACAAAACCACCAAATTGACTAATACTACCAAGACTATTGTTAACACCAACCACTGAATTGACTAACAATATAAAGACCATTGGTAACATCAAGGATTATCGAAGCAACCACTCAACTGACTACTATCACGAAAACATTGACACCAAAATATATATATTGTAACTACGACTATATTCACTACTTCTGCATTTACAAGGACTGATAAACGACCATCAATCATAACCAGTCATAACCGATGACTACCTAAACCACCACTTACTGACTGCAAAGACATTGAAACAAACGACTCTCTGTTGACTATTACTACAAAAACATTGACGCCGAACTATATCTACAGTAGCTAAGACTGAATTGACAATACTGCAAAGGCGTACTAAAGAAGATCTATTCCAAATACTACTACGACTCCACCACAAAAATGACTACTAAAAACATAGTGACATCAACGACCAATTGTATTACCTACAAGTATCTAACTACATTTAAATAATCTATAAAATTCAAAACCAACTTGCTAGCATATAGTACGAAGACCATGTTAGATTAATTATCAATTAAAATATCAGTGTTATTATAAACACATTAATTGTTTAATATGTAATTAATTAAAATTCTTAAAGTTACACTGAAATATAGGGAAGTATCTTCTGGGTTTCAAAATAAGTTATTCCAGGGGCTTAATATTACAATTCAGTCTTCAAAACTCAGCTATGAAGTCATCTGTTAATTCATCAGCAGACTTGCATGGCTGAGAGTGTTATATAATTTAATTCAATCAAAATTGGATATATAATTTAATTGGACTAGCCAGAGAATCCCTTCTGCTTCACAACCCGTGAAAGAGTGGGGAAATGAAAGAAAGAAAACTGTTGATAAGGGAAATTTTCGTGAAAAAGGTAACAGGGCTCAGTGCGGAACGACGATGGAACCTACGCTAAAGTCGAATTTATACCAGCTTGGATTCGGGATTTCAGGTAAAACTGGATTTAATTAAACTGTCAAAACATGGTTCAATTCAACCTTGGCCAGAGTAAACAGCGCAAAATTAAATTCTTATAATTTTTTTCAATAGCCCAAGAGGTAATCATATAAATTGAAAAAAAATTCTTTATACGTTTAATTAACAAACATTCTTTGATCTTGGTTAATTACGTTTTTTTTAAAGTCGAATAAATTACTTTTGCTTATTGCACACATTCCTGTGATTTACGTTATTACTAAACTTACCCTTTAAGTTCAATGTACTTAGGAAAAGATAATTAGTAATTGTACTCATAAATTTAAAAATAAAAACGCTTATTTTCATCAAATAATTTTTTTTTTAAATTTAAGCATTTCTTGAAATCAAAAATTGACTATTACTACAACTACCATAATTGACTGTAATTCAACGATATCGCCACAACAAAAACAGTTAACTATTTCTCATTTGACTATTATCACAAAGACAACCATCACAATTGACTATTAATACAATCACACCACTACCAAAAAAATATTTATATATTGTCTTTATATTGTCAAAGAAATAGTTTAAATAAATATTATTGCTTATTTATAAAAAAATGCAAAGAATAAAAAATGCAAAAGATCTCATTGAAAACCGGCAAAAAGGGTTATCGTTAATGATTAAACGATTTAATGTTACTAAGGTCGACATTTCACTGACAATATAATTTCATTTTAATCTTTGAATTATGCTTAATTACACATCGCTCAGATAAAAAGATTATGACGATTATTAGAGTTTAAAAAATATGATTAAGAAAAAAAATCATAATTCCTTCTCCATTTCAACTCTCCGAATATCTATTAAGAACGAATCAATTTGTTTTTTTATAAAAAATTTTACATAACCAACACTAATGAACAGAATATTCAAAAATAAGTTATGCTCAAGTCAAAAATATATCCGTTTTTAAATATCATTTTCGGTATCATAATTACAACAATGTCACTATTAATAAAATGCTCTTCAAATGACTGTTATCAACAAGGACAGTCGTTCGTTTACATTAAATTGAACTGCAAAGTCTTAACTATACAACTATTTATTGCGATGACGTTATCAACGGCAATTTCATAAACAATTATTTTTCTCTTCTAACTTCATAACAAACAAAATCATATATATAGTAATACATAGACAATAACTGTGAATATTATTCTACTATAACTACAAAGGCAATCATCAAAATTGATTATTAATATAAAGACATCGCCACCAAAAAAGTATAAAGTATTTCTCAATTGACTATAACTACAAAACCAACCATCACAATTGACCATTAATACAAAGATAACGCCGTGAAAAACAGTTAGTACTTCCCAATTATTACTATAAAGATAATCAACATAATTGACTACTAATACAAAAAAAACACTACCACTACTTATTTGCAAAAATAACTATTACTAAAAGGACTGTATCTTCTTATCGCTAAAAATAGCTCAGTATTTCTGAATTGACTATCATTACAAAGACAATCAACACAATTGACTAATAATGCAATCACACCACTATCAAAAAAAATATTTATAATCAATACAATTAACTGAAACAAGTCACGTGTTATGTGATTGACCATTACTACAAAGAAAACCTATATAATTGAATATTGATACAAAGAGACAACACCACCAAAAAGGATTTAAGTACTTCACAATTGACTATTACTGCAAAGATAATCACCATAATTGACTATCAATACAAAGAAATTGCCACTACAAAAAGCACTTATTTCAAAATTTGACCATTATTACAAACACTACCATAAGCGATAATTTACAAAAAAAACAGCAACCAAAATATTGAGGTAAGTATTTCTCTGTAATTGACTATTACAATAAAACCAACCGCCACAACTGACTGTCGATAAAAATCGCCATCGAAAAAGTTACATATTTATTCCATTGCTATAGAGACAACCACCATTATTGACTATCAATAAAAAAAAATAACGCCACTAGAAAAATCAATTATTAAAAAAAAATTGACTTGAAAAATTGACTGTAAAGATAACTATTATGATTGACAAATAATACAAAGATATCACCACAAAAAAGTTAAGAATTTCTTCTATTATCACAACCAATAAATTTAATATTAATACAAACAGACGCGAGCAAAAAGAAGTATTTTTGAATTTAATACTACTACAAAGACATCCACCATAATTGAATATTAATACAAAGAAATCACCACCAAAGACGAATTGAGTATTTCTTACATTACTACAAAGACATATAATTCACTATTAATATGAGATAGCGACACCAAAAAACACTTTAGAATTTCTGTATTGACCATTACTACAAAGAAAACTACCATAATTTACTATTTATAAAATGACCCCCAAAAAAATCAAATATTTCTGTTAAGTAGATTTAACTCCCTATCAACTCTATTGTGAATTTAAATACAGTCACATATCGACACCTATGTCATGAATTAATTGCAAAATCATTGACACCAATGATTACCTTTGCCAACAAATTGACTATTACGAGAAATAGATACCATCCAATGCCTAACTATGTTACATTACTATTCGTGCAAAGCTTCTTTCAATTATTTTGTCCTAACCATGACTTGGACCTAAAAAAATCACAGAAGCCTAAGTAATAATAATAACAACAAAGACAATAACTTAAACAATGACCTGAAAAAGTTTGAATTGACGAATATGCTATTACAACAAAGTACCACAAAAATCATCTTGATTGGCAATTACTAATGAGACGTCGCAATCAATGGAAAAGTAGTGTTATTACTACAAATTGACCTATTGATTATTATTACAAAAGTGACAAAAACCCGTACGAAAGATCATTATTACGAAGAGATCGCAACGTAATAAGAGTAATCTAAGATTTCACAACAATGCAGAACTTTACAAGATACCGCTAATACAAAACACTTACTCTAAATTGACTAATACAAAGAGAAGAATTACAGTAGACTATCTCCACTTAGCTCTCGCTGAATCAAGTACATATTCAAATTTACAAAAGATTTGTTCTATTGTTCCTAACGTGCATATTTCCTTTTAGTTTACAACCTTTAAAATTGACGTTAGAAGTTTTTTAACCAAATACTATGAAGTTTTATTTTGGGTTTAACCAAATCAATAACTCTTGAGTTGTAGTCTGTTTTCAAGGGCGAATTCTGTAAATAAGCATAAGAGTTTACTTTCTAATTGGCTTGCAAAAACAGAAGAGTTGGCAATAAATATATGTTTATGTTTTGGTTTTTTCCAGCGAGCTTATCAATAGCGACGGCTGGTGCCTGGCTCGCATGGCCGTCAGCGGTCATACCCATGATAGAAAAGGACGGTATCCCGATGAAAATGACAGAAGGCGAGATATCGACAATGGTCGCGTTGATGGACCTCGGAAATATCCTCAGCCCCGTGCCGGCGAGCTACCTCATGGACAAGATCGGAAGACGTCCGACACTCATGTCTGCTGGAGTATGCGCGATCATAGCCAGCGCCGCGGTTATGCTCGCCAACGGCGTATGTCTCATTTACGCGGCGAGGATTTTCGCCGGTTTCACCAAAGGCATAGCGTACGCCGTGTTGCCGATTTACGCGGCAGAAGTGGCCAATACGAAAGTCAGAGGAGGTCTGACAGCTGTCAGCATGGTTTTTCTGACCCTCGGTACGACAGTCGACTACGCCATCGGACCCCACTTCTCCTACCAAGCCTTGAACATAACTAACGCAATAATCCCTATTCTGTTACTTTCCACTATTATGTTTTTTCCCGAATCAGTGCATTTTTTAGCAATGAAAGGTAAACACGATCAGGCTTTGAACGCCCTGGCAAAATACAGACAGGTGAAGAAGGAAAACGCTAAAGAAAATGGACTGGAAGCGGAATACCAAGAGGTTTCGAGAAAAGTGGAGGAAGATATGAGAGACAAGGGGAGGTTTTTAGACCTGATATCCACTCCGGCGAATAAAAGGGCGTTGATGATTATTTCCCTGTTGGCTTTTTTCCAACGTAGCACTGGAATCAGCCCGATAATCGCGTACAGCACCTCGACCATGCCGAAAGAAGGAGGTGGCCTCTCCATAAGCGAATACATGATAGTTTTTAGCGTCGTCCACGCCATCACGGCCTACGGTGTCATGCCTCTCGTGGACAGGCTCGGAAGAAGACCTCTAATGCTGTTTTCCTCCTTGACCACCGGCTTAGTCACCGGGTTCATCGGCGTCTACTACTGGATGGAGAGAAGCGGATACGACGTTCGGGACATCCAGTGGATTCCTTACGCCGGCCTCGTCTTGTTCGCGATCACGTACGGTGCCGGGGCCGGTATCATACCGTCGACGATCGTCGGCGAACTGTTTCCAACAAATATCAAAAGCTACGCTTCTTCAGTTTCGGCGATAATACTCGCCGCCGTATCGTTCACGCTCAACAAAATTTTCCACGTCGTAGCGAAATCCTACGGAGCCCACGTCATGTTCTGGTCTTTCACCGCTGCATCCTTCCTCTGCACTCTCTTCACTTACGTATTTCTTTTCGAGACGAAAGGGAAAACATTCACCGAAATTAGAGACTACATGGCGAAGCTATGCGAAAAATAAACCTTCGTCAAATATTTCAAAAATAATTGGTAAAGATCTCGTATCATCTTTTTTCATAAAACATTAAAACAAAACAATGAATTAATGATACAAAGATGTTACCAAGTTAACAAGTGATTTTAAAGTTTCTGTTAAAGTGAGCACAATTATGCTCTTATCACATATTACATGATTCTTTAAAAATGATGTACCTGGCTGAAAATAAAAATTAAAATAAAATCTTGACGATTATTTTCCACCAAACCCAATTTCCTAAACATTTATTTTTATCCTAATTTATTTTTTTAAATCTGAATTAACTATTACCACAAATACGTTCGTACCAGAAGATCATAAACCAAATAGACCAAAAATCAAAGACACAAGCACCAAAAAATGTATTCACTAATTCTGAATGGACTATTACGACAAATACAATGGTGCTTGAAAATCTAAGCCTAATAAGTTACAAAGACACAACCATCAAAAATTTTTGTCTAATTCTGAACTGACTATTACCGCAAACACGTTCGTGCCTGAATTCTAAACCGAATATACTATAAACAAAGACAGAACCACCAAAAAAATTATTGACTAATTCTCAGTTGACTATTACCACCAACAAGTTGATGCCTGAAGATCTAAACCGAATAGACTATAATATAAACAAAGACTGAGCCACCAAAAAAATTATTGACTAATTCTCAGTTGACTGATATAAACCGAATAGACTATAATATAAACAAAGACTGAGCCACCAAAAAAAATTATTGACTAATTCTCAGTTGACTATTACCACAAACACGTTGGTGCCAGAAGTTCATAAATCGAATTGAATATGAATACACAGACACATACACTAAAAAATTATTGACTAATGCTGAATATACTATTACCAAAAAGACTTGGTGTCTGAAAATCTAAATCGAATTTTGTATAAATACAAAGACACAACTACCAATAAATTAGTATTATTTAATTAATGCTGATTAGATTATCAGTACTGACAATACGGGATGACAAGGTCACCACTAAATCATCGAATACTTTCAACTTTATCATGACCACAGAACATTTGACGACTGAAAAGGCCCAACGTGAAATTGACTACTTCTACAAACATACCACCATCGATAGATGACTGACTATCACCGTAAAATACGTTGACGTCATCACAGGCTTAACCTAAAATTGACTATTACCACAAAGACATTGGTGCCAGAAGATCTGAACCGAATTGACTATAATTACACAGAAATCCCCCATCAATAAATTATTGACTATTACTACAAAAACACTATAACCAAAAAATGATTAAATATTTATGTGACGACTATTTTTACAAAGACACTACCACCAATAAATGATTGACCATTCATGAATTGACTATTTCTACAAAGCCACAAATACCAATAAATATTTGCCTACCAATGCTAACCAACAAACTAAATTGAAATCATCTTTCAGGTTGGAGTATGGTACATCAAAGAGCAAGAAGGACTCCATGTGTCTATAATTTTACCATTATCTAGTCATATATGATGTAGACAATTATTGAATTGTTTGATTGAGGATGGTTATGAGAATAAGAAAGTTTTTATTTTTAATTAAGTATGTAATATTTAGTAACCGTTAATTAATAATTATTTAGAGATCGTGAAATGGGGTCTGGTGTGTTGTAGGTTAGGCGTTAGGTGATGTACGAAACTTCTCATAGAAAAATGAATTTTTATCCCTACCACCTTCCCCACTCTTTCAAAATCAAACATATAAACAAAAAACATTAAAATCTCAATAACACTCTCAACTCGACACACAGCAGTGACACATTTACACGGAAAACACACACTTTGAGTGAGCACAAATACTTTGATTAAACCTAAATTTTCTAAGTTGTATATCATTGTATAAATTCATTTTCATATCTTACATGAATTTGTATAATTTAAATAAAGTTTATAAATCCCAGGCACTGAAGATGATCTCAATAAAGATCGAAACGGTAAAGAAAATGTTTTTATAAACCTACATCACACCAGACCGCATCTCACGATCTCTAAATAATTATTTTTAATTAACTAGTACTTTTGATATTTTAATGTTTCAACGCAAAAATCGATAGATATGATTCAATGGATAAGGAAGTAACTGGTATCCTTTTTATTTTTTTTCACCATTTTCTCCCTGTTAGAAAATTGTTTCATCTCCGGCTTTAATAATCGTTCTCAAATTGACGGATTAGCCTTCGTCACTTAATCTGTCTTTCTCTCTTTATTCCATTTAGTTTTGCCCAATTGACTCTAAATCTGACGAATTTATTGCATTAGGATGGAAAAACGTTATAACCCGCTCTCTTACGTAACGGAATAATGAGCTTATCCCGGTTCTACCCGCGCCTGTTAGTAACTAAATACATCCAATTACAAACTCTTAGCTCAACTGACACCAATTACCAAAAAGTTTTCTTCGGTGTGTTTAATTTATATACAAGGCCTAATACGATTGCTTAGCCTTTTCCAATTTTCAGCTCCTATTATATATCGTTAGGGTACTATGTTCAACGAATTTGAGACTGTCGAATCATTTCTTTAATTTATAGTTGGTGTCTTTGTAGTAATACATAGTCATAAGTAGGGACTTTTCAGACAATTATTTGTTTTGCTGTCATAATCAATTTGGGAGATGTTAATCATTTCTTTGTGGTAGTGTCTTAGTACAAAGAGTCAATTGCTCGCGTATGTATTTTTTGTGGTGATAGTCATCATCATGGATGATAGTAGTTTTATAGTGATAATCAATTTAGGTTTAGCCCTTGCCGTTGCCAATGTGTTTTGAAGTCGCAGACAATTTGGGCGTGATTGATTATTTATTGGTTGTGGTGTCTTTGTAGTAGTCAATTCAAGTTAGTCTTTGCTGGCGTTCATGTTGTTTGCGGTGATAGCCGTCATTTATGGATGGTGGTGTTTTTATAGTAATAATCAATTTAGGTTTAGCCTTTGATGTTAAGCGGGGAATACACTTACCCGATGCAACGCTATGCGACGCTACCCGATGCTTCCCGACGCCTTGTCGCGTTTTGGTAGGGTGTGCACATTTATGCAACGTCAAGCGCAAGTCACGTACAGTCACACAGAGTGTATCACAATAATCAATATCATAGGGGCGTCGGTGGCCGCAACGGTTTAGGCGTTGTCACGGCGCTCATCACTGAAAGGTAAAGGTCCCGGGTTCGAATGCAGGGCCGCTGGACATACTTACAAATGGGCTTTTTTTCAAAAACACCGGCACCCTGAGAGTTTATATGACCTCTGCTGTTGCGAACCCTCGTTTAAAAAAAAAATTTAAAAAAAATAAAAAGTATTAAAAAAATCAATATCACAATCGCAACGTCTCTTTTGTTCTTAATGCACTATTTTGAGCAAAACCATGTAATAAATTGTTAGTTAAATTTAATATTACATTACAATTAATTAAGGTTTTTAACTGAAATGAAAAAAAGTTAATGGCACGAGAGGGATTCGAACCCACGACCTTCGGCTAGATACGCCGCTGCTCTACCACCTGAGCTATCGTGACTTCGATCCACTCGGACACTAACTTCCCATCTCAACCGCACCTTTTGAATTTTGCCATTTTTCAAATGTGTAATCGGACTGGATTCTCGACGACAAATGAAATGGCCACGGAGAGCTTTAGTGAAGTATACTTCATTTTAAATCATTAAATTCCCTAATTTCGTGGTCCGCTTGACCAAAAATTGCAAAAAGGAGGGAAAATTCAAAGGTGGGGTTGAGGTGGGAAGTTAGTGTCCGAGTGGATCGAGGTCACGATAGCTCAAGTGGTAGAGCAGCGGCGTAGAGGTGTTTATTAGTACGTGTCTTTGCAGTAATAGACAATTTATGATTAGTCAATAATTTAGTGGTAGTGTCTTTGTGGTTATGGTAAATTCTGTTTAGATCTTCTGGCGCCATTGACTTTGTGCAATTTAGTATTAGACATTAATTTATTGATGGAAGGGCCTTTGAGTCAATGTTGTCCATTATATCCATTACGTTTCGAAGTCCAGTTGATCAATTAACTTCTTTCAATTAATTAATATTTATGTAAGGTATTAGGTGAAATGAAAAAGTTAGAGTCACGAGCGGGATTCGAACCCACGATCTTCGGCTAAATACGCCGGTGCTCTACCACTTGAGCTATCGTGACTTCGATCCACTCAGACACCAACTTCCCGCTTCATTTCAACCAATACCTAGTAAAACGAAATATATCTTCATTAAAGCTCTCCGGGTCTATTTCATTTGTCGCCGAGAATCCTGATTACAAGAAATTTGAAAAATGGCAAGAAGAGGAAAAATTCAAAAGATTGTAGGTTGAGATAGGAAGTTGGTGTCCGAGTGGATCGAAGTCACGATAGCTCAAGTGGTAGAGCAGCGGCGTATTTAGACGTAGGTCGTGGGTTCGAATCCCACTCGTGGTTCTAACTTTTACATTTCAACCAATACCTTGCATAAAGATTAATTAATTGAAAGTTATCCATTATGTTTAGATTTTCACGCACCAATGTGTTTTGTGATCATAGTCAATTTGAGAATGGTTGATATTGTCTTTGTAATAAAAATCAATTTAGGGCCGTCTTTTCCTGTTGTCAACGTTTTGTGATCATAATCTGGGACTAGTTCATATTTAATTGTTGTGGTCTTTTTGTAGTAACAGACAATTCAAGTTAGGTTTTTGCAGTTGCCATGTTTTTGTGGTCCAGTTAATTTGGGTATATTTGACGATTTAATGTTGAAAGTCTGAACTTGGTTCACTTCGAAGTTTTTGTTACATTAGTTTACACAGTAGTGGTGTCTTTGTGAAAACAGTCAATTTAGGTCAGGCATTTGCCTGCATTAAGTCAATTAAAACGTTGTTCGTCCTCCCTTATCATGTTTGTCGGTGGTATTTTTGTAATGCCAGCCAATTCATAACAAATCGAAATATATACGACACAAATGGGGGAGATTCTTCAGAAAATGAGGGGTAAAATTTTGATCGTCGGTCAATGGGGGACGTCCTATTCACATCCACGATTTTTCCCCCCATAATCTTCTTTTTTTCTCCATGGCCATTGTTCCTCCCGCCATCGAGTCCTTTATTGCAAAATCCAGCCCTTGCTCTCGATTTTTTTAGAATTCGAGTGTGCCCCATTGGACCAGGGCGTGCATTCTTCACATAACTGCCGGGATATTTTGTGTGGGTGTGTGTGTGTGTGTGTGTGTATGTAGTATATTCCTTACTATCAGTGGCATTTTATTTGTAAAAATAAAAATTAACCACATTATTTTTTAGTTGAGTTGAGCTAGAATATACTAAGCTTATTAACTTTATCTAGTTTCTCGCCCTTTCACAACGGATTTAACACGAGACAAGAGCATAATCTTCGTTAAGCACACACGACTTCGGCCCTTGAAGGAGGATTGCTTTCTGCATTTGTCAGACCGTGCAGAACAACCGTTTACAATCCGGCTCGACAACGGAAATGCAAAAGGGTCAGCAAAAAAAGGGCCCGGAGCTGAGGGACAAACTGGCAAGAGGCGCAGGGCCCGGTCTCGTTTTAGGGCCCTTATCTCAACAGAACACGACTAGCACATCATTTACTACAGATACCGGGGGGGGGCTTCCTAAAGTACTGTGAACTTCATCGAAACTCGTCCCACAACTTAACGATCTTGTCACATCCAGTGGAATATCTCTCCGAGCCGCGGTGTAACTTCCTGCTGGCTAATTGGATTTCAGGAAGTTGTTAGTAATTCCTAGAGGCCGATAACGCCCGTTTGGAGTAATTAGCGGTCCGATATCGCCTTTTCAATAAAACATCAAAGCTCTTTGACTTGAAAGACAAAAGAGTTTGTAATTAACTCGCCTAAAGAGGAGCAAACGACCCAATTTGGTCTTTTGATATTGAGGAGTTCTTTGTCACGTGATGTAGCAACAAATGAAATTTACTTAATTCACGCGAAAATAGCAAGACGGTAACAACCTAATTTTATTATTACGATAAAGAACGTGCTAATTCAGTATTCATTATTACCACAAAATTATATCAGCACTAACTTTTTCTACAAAGACAGTAACCGGTTAAATATAATTGCTACAAAAAAGACCTTACTAATTCAGAATTGACTATTACTACAAAGAATCTATTATCACATTTTGACTACCACTACAATGACTTTATTATCTCAGTATTGACTATTTCTACAAGAACATCAATATCTAAATGTTAACAAATTTCTACAAAGAAAATTTCAATTTAAATGTTTCAAAAAAAAATCGTACCAATTCAGTATTGACTATCTCTACAAAGACTCTACTATTCCATTATTGACTGTTACTACAAAATCTCTATTATCTCAATATTGACCACTGCTACAAGAACATCAATATCTAAATGTTAACAATTTCTACAAAGAAAATTTCAATTTAAATGTTTCAAAAAAAATCGTACCAATTCAGTATTGACTATCTCTACAAAGACTCTACTATTTCATTATTGACTGTTACTACAAAATCTCTATTACCTCAGTATTGACCATTGCTAAAAGAGAACATCGATATCTAAATGTTAACAATTTCTACAAAGAAAATTACAATTTAAATGTGATTGTTTCAACAAAAATCGTACTAATTCAGTATTGACTAACTATACAAAGACTCAACTATTTATTGACTATTACTATAAAACCTCTATTATCGCAGTATTGATTATTACAACAAAGACAGTAAAACTTTAATTGTGAAAGCTACAGCAAATATTAATCTAATTCAGCATTGACTATTACTACAAAGAATCTATTATCACATTTTTGACTACGACTACAATGACTCTATTATCTCAGTATTGACTATTGCTACAAGAACATCAATCTCTAAGTGTTAACAATTTCTACAAAGAAAATTATAATTTAAATGCGATTGTTTCAACAAAAATCGTACAAATTCAGTATTGACTATCTCAACAAAGACTCTACTATCTCAGTATTGACTATTACTACAAAAAAAACTCTATTATTTCAGTATTGATTATTACAACAAAGACAGTAAAATTTTAATTGTGATAGTTACAGCAAAGATCGAACTAATTCAGCATTGACTATTACTACAAGTCTCTACTGTCTTAATATCCAATACAATATTACTTCAAAACCTTTACTATCTGAATATTGACTGTTACAGGAATGACTTCAATATTGACTCTTTCCACAAAGGCAATAATAAATTAAATTTAATTGTTACAACAAAGACCGTCCTACTTTAGCATTGGCTATTACTACACAAAATCACCTAAACTGAGACTAACTCTATGAATCCCTTTCCAATTTTTTAAAAGGCCACGAAATTTAAAATAATCAAGTATGATCAAACTAAGGTCGTCTGACCAGCTAAAAGAAGTAGACATTTCTGGTTTTTCTTTTAAACACGATCATATTTGATCATCAAAAACTTAAAATGTTGACAATAAAACTAGAACTAATATGAAAGAAATATTTTCTTAATAAAGAGTAAGGTGAACGAACACTGACCTTTTTGCTGTACTACAGGTGACTTCTGCTGGTCGATGAGGTCTGACGGCTTTTTCCCAGAGGTTTTTGCCTGAACTGCAGGTGACTTCTGTTGGTCGATGAGGTCTGACGCCTTTTTCCCAGAGGCAGGAGAAGATTTCAATAATTGGCTGGTGGTAGTGACTTTTTCGAAAGATTGAGGGCCGGACTTGGCCGGTGAAGGGGATTGTTGCGGCTGGGAGGAGGACTCGCTCAAGCTTTTCAAATAGTTCCAATTTTCGGACAGCTTCCGGATTTGTTCCTTGAATAAACAAAGATATTTTTCATGATTTTGGTTTGAAAATGGAACCCCGAGATAAAAAGCACATATGTAGATATAGGATTTTAAAAAAAGATAACGTTAACATACATAGAATAAAGTAGCGGAAATAAAATTAAACAATTTCTATGCTGAAATGCAAATATTAAAATGAACCAATACTTATTCTGGAAATATTTGAAATTCAAGTTATTTGTGGTTTCCGATAACTATTTAAGTACACACAATCGTTAAGGTAGGCCTCGGGGCCGATTTCAACAAAACTTGGACAGTAGATTAGAGCACGATTGTTCAATAATTTTGACAAGTTTCGTCGACTTGTGCCGATCTGTTAGCGAGGTATTGAAGGAAATGTGTTTTGGAAGGCAGAAAGCGATGCAATGTTTACACCCTGCGGGCTGTTCCCTTGTAACATATTTCAACTAAATTTTACTCGTAGATCGAGCCACGATTGGGCAATAATTTTGTAAAATTTCATCAATTTCGGTTGATTAATTAACGATATATCGGAAATGTGTTTAGGAAAGCGAGCGTTTCAACCGATTTATACAAAACTGAGTATCAGCTACAAGATAACTGTTAAATTTATATGCTAACTTACATCAGATTTGGTTAATTGGAGCCCTCAAAAAATCCTTTCCCCCAGTATGCAAAATTTCTACAAAATTTTAACAGCAGATTAAACTGGTATTTTTTTTACAATGGCTACCTATTCTCATTAGATCATAAGAGGATCGAAATTTTTCCAAATATGTATTAGTAGTTATAGTCACTCATGAGGTTTATGTGTTTTTCATTATGATTTCTCTTTAACAATGATCAATACTGAGGTCGTTAAGTCACGGTTTGTCGTAACAGTCAATTGTAAGATTGATGTCATTTTTTCTTGGCGATTTCTCTTTAACAATTATCAATACTGAGGTCGTTAAGTCACGGTTTGTCGTAATAGTCAATTGTAAGATTGATGTCATTTTTTCTTGGCGGTTTCTCTTTAACAATCAATACTGAGGTCGTTAAGTCACGGTTTGTCGTAATAGTCAATTGTAAGATTGATGTCATTTTTTCTTGGCGATTTGTCTTAAACAATGGTCAATACTGAAGCCGTTACGTTACAACTTGTGTCGGGGTCTTTATCGTAATAGTAAATTCTCAAGTAATAATATTTCGTTGGTGTCGTGTTTTTGTAGTAAAATTCAATTCAGAATTAGTTCGGTCTATGCTGTATATAGGTAATCTGAGATTTTTCTTAATAAGGGTATCTTAACTATAAAGTTATGTGAACCATTAGGTTCATTCATTAAACATTTGTAAATATGACGGTTAGAATGCAGGGCCGCTGGATTCGAACCCAGGATCTTTACCTTACAGTTATGTGCCGTGTTAACGCCTAAACTGTTGCGGCCACCGACGCCCCCCCCCCCAATCTGAGATTGTATGTATTTTTCTTGGGAATTGCTCTGTAAACAATGGTCAATACTGAAATCGTTATGTCACAGCTTGTGTCGGTCTCTTTATCGTAAAGTCAATTCTCAAGTAATAATATTTCATTGGTGTCGTGTTTTTGTAGCAAATTTCAATTCAGATCGGTCTTTGTTGTATATAGACAATACTGAGATCGTATGTATTTTTCTTAGGGATTTCTCTGTAAACAATGGTCAGTGAGATCGTTAAGTCACAGTCCGTCGTAATAGTCAAATGTGAGGTTGATCCTCGTTAGTCGCTGTGTGGGGTAGTATAACTCATTTAATGGGAAGTTAAGTTTTTCAGGACGTGGTAGTCGTAGTAGTAGTCAATACTGATTTTTCTGTTTTGTTTTAATAATCAAATACCTTGTTTTTGTTGGGGATTTCTTCGTAATACTGGCCAATGCTGAGGTGGTCCTGACACAATTTGTAAAAGAGTCTTTGTCGTAATACCTTTGTTATTAGCCTGTGTTTTTTGTTGTTTTTCCCCCTGTCGTAAGTCAAGATCAGTTCCCAACTTTTACATATTGGAAATAATAGTCCATACAAAAGTTGTTAAATCTCAGTTTGTGGTTTTGTCTTTGTTGTAATAGTCAATTTGAAGTAATACCTTTGTCATTAGCCTGTTTTGTTTTGGCTTGTTTTTTGTTGTAAATAAAGATCAATTCAGAAATTTACATCTTTAAAATAATAGTCAATACAGAAGTTGTTAAATCTCTGTTTGTGGTGTTGTCTTTGTCGTTACAGTCAATTTGATGTAATATCTTTGTTATTAGCCTGTTTTGTTTTGGTTTGTGTTTTGTTGTAAATAAAGATCAATTCAGAAATTTACATCTTTAAAATAATAGTCAAATGTGTGGTGATTAGTGACGATTTCTGAATAATAATAGTCAATACTGAAGTTGTTAAATCTCAGTCTGTGGTGTTGTCTTTGTTGTAATAGCCAATTTGCTGAAATGACTTTGTTATTAGCCTATTTTGTTTTATTTTGGTATTTTTTGTAAGTTAAGTCCAGTTCAAAAACTTACATGTTTTAAAATAATAGTCAATACAGGAGTTGTAAATCTCAGTTTGAGGGGTTGTCTTTGTCGTAATAGTCAATTTGGTCCACCTATTGATTTCTATGTGTACTGTATGTATTTCTCCGTTCTAAAATTAAATGTAAATATAGTTACGTCTTTGTGACTATAATTAATTCAAACTGTTTGATTCCGAGCTTGTAGCGGATTTGTAATAGTCAATTCCGGTCCACCTAATGATTTCTTTGTATACGACGCGACTCCGTCGTAAAACTAAATTTAAATGTAGTTATGTCTTTGTAACAATAGTTAGTTCAAACTTTTTGATGCCAAGCTTGTAGCGGAGTTGTCGTAATAGTCAATTCTGAGATAATATCTTTGTGTAAGGCATGTGTTTGTTGTAAAAATCAGTTTAAAGTAGTTACATCATTGTAATAATATTTAACACCCAAGTTGTTAAATCTCTGTTTGTAGCGGAGTTGTTATCGTAATAATCAATTCCGAGATAATGGTATCTTTGTATAAAGCCTATGTTTTAAATAAAAATCTTAAATTAGGAAGTGTTTACACCCCCGTAAGTGTTGGGTATTTTTGTTCTAATGAAGACCTTCTGGTAGACCAAAACAAGCTAGAATGTTCATAACACTTACTCGTAATTCGCCGGGCATGTCGCCTCCGCATTCCTTGTCCAGATTGTTGAAGTTCTCCTTCAGCTCTTTCACTTCGATAAACCTATCGGAAAGGCTTGACTGTAAAACACAAACAAAAACTCCATTTTAGATTAATAAAGCTATAAGAAAATTCAAAAACCTAGAATAAAAATGTTTAAACCATAATGTTGTTGAGGATTTTGGATTTCTCGGTTGGTGTCAATTCCTGACAGATGTTGACCCTCGTTCTGACCTCGCTGGTCCATGTCGCTACACAGTCCAATTGGGCAAGAAGTCTTTTCAGGGATGTCAATTTTGCATTGAGATAGTCTTTGTGCTCGGAGAGAAGATCTTGGGCCTTAAAATAAAACATAATATACAAAACTATTCCTAATCGTATATCATTTTATTCAGACAAACCTTGTTTATCTCTAAAATAATCTGTTTGATTTTCTCCGCCTGCCCGTTCGATTCGAAATTTTCGAGTTCTTTCTTCTTCTTCTCGAGTTCTTCTTGCAAAGTCTGGAAAGCAAAGCCGAAGGATAAGGTAAAAGGCAAAAAGTGGCCGATTGTACAAAAGGGGATAATCACTTTGACCAAATTGATCCTGACTGAGAGAGCAGCTTCGTCGGACGGATTAGAAGGAGAGCTCAAAAGAGACGTCACCTCTTCGAGTGTAGCCATGGTCGAGTCAACAAGGCCTCTAGTCTGCTTCCCACTTTGCAGATGGGTGAGTCTACAAGAAGATGAGAAACTTATAACCATGAAATCCAGCTTGAAATCCAAAAAATGAATGTACAGATAAGAACGGTCCTTTCTCATTGTGAATTTCGATATTTTTCTATTTTGATCGCTCATCCTCTATTTACATTTCTCGGGTTTACCTTTTTTCTGCATTTCTGTAGAAAATGCATGTTTCATCTGAACGAACATTCGCAAACATTGTGAAAGGTGCCTAGCTCAAAAGGCGAAAACTTGATTGAATGACGTTACAAATTTACCAGCAAACCCAAACTATAAAAAAGTATTGATATTTTCATATGGCTGCGTACGAGGGAACACAGACAGACATCCAATGAAATAAAAATACTTGAATCCGTTCTTGAACAGTGGAGCCTCGTCGGTAGTAAAGTTCAGAAGACTTGGAATTGCATCAAGGGCCTTCAGACATTGGGTACAATAAAACACCCTTGTTTGGGTACCAGGTCATACTACCATGATCGTGCCCGAGCATTACTTGACCCACCACTCTGCCCTGGAAGACCTAAAACTACCACCACTAAGCTTCATCCAAAATAAGCTAGTGCCACAATTCACAGGCTAGTGGAAGGACTGGCTTCAATAGGCTACCCCATAAATTGCCAAAAGCCACTGGATGTGCTTGGAGTGCAAAGAATGCTGCGACACTATGGACAGAACTGGGAGAAAGGGTTTCCAACTAATGCCAAGTATACCTGGTATGCAGATGGCTCCAAGGTGGGTCACGACCTGTCTAAGGGAATAAACCAATGACCAAAATCCTATGCCATGTTGATAAGAAAGCAGAAACTGCAAGAAACGACAACAGCATATTGTATACAGGGCACGTGGATGACGAGGAGGACGATAAATCCGACAAGGAATGAGCGATAACAACACCCATCGGCCCTAAACCCTTTTGGGTTATATCAAATTGCCAAAAACTAAGAAACATCCGATAATTGCTTCAGAATAAGTCCTTGGTTCAATCGAAATTTATAGGGGTAGGGCGTATTAGGTTAAGAATGAAATTAGGGCACTAAGAACCCCTGACTCATATGTACAGACTCGGGTCGCAGAAGCTTGTGCAGATTGCCAGGAAGTAGAAGAGACAGTAGAACACGTCCGTTGCTGCAAAGACCTAAGCAGGCTGAGATCCCTACTCCCTTTGGGAATCTGGTTAAAAGACTTGAGCTACACAATAGTCCAATATTGTAAGTCGTAAAGAAGTCGACTTTTAACCCTAATCTTAATTTCCTGTAAAATTTACGGGCCTAAGAGAAAACATACTCTCACCAGATGAATCATGAAACAGGCAGTACAGGCTGACAGAATGATCCAATTTAGGTCAACCGAGAGTAAATGTTTACCTTTGGTTTTTATTATATATTAATCTATCATTCATTTTACCGTATTTGGGATCTGGTAGAGAAAGAAGTAGACTCTGTGATCACTTGCCAAGCTTTCGGCCTTTATAAGACCATCATCAGGGCCGCATCCTATTTCTCATATTAACATTACAGAATGACAGAATTCCTTTCAAAAAACTTATTTTACTATTGAAATTGTTGGTTTAATCTAGTTTTACATCAATTATAGAAAAAAAACTGAAAAAACTTGTCATTTCAACTTAACCCACCTCATGTACTTCGAGACCTCGTAGTCGACGTCGTCGGGTTTTTTCGTCATTCTGTAATGTGAATATGAGAAATATGATGCCACGCTGATGATGATCTTATAAAGGCCGAAACCTTGGCAAGAGATCACAGTCTACTTCTTTCTCTACATGACCAGAAACCAGATCCCAAACACATCAATCGTCCTGGTCGATTTCTTCTTCGTCAACATTCATTTTACTGTATTTAAAATGAACTCGAAGGCCTTGGACCCTCTGTTCTTAACAGCGAAAACACGCGGACGATTATGTCGGGTTCATCATCCCCCCCAAAAAAAAACTTTTCAATTTTAAATTCCTTTCGTTGATTAGTATCATTCACATTTTTAACCGAAAGTCTTTTGAAGTCGTGCGTCTAACGAGATTCTATTTTAGGACGGTACGACAATCTCATATTCACTCCTTTGCCCAGGACAAACCTTGGACTTACATCCTGCCGTTACTAAATAATGAAAAAAGTAAAACAAAAGAAAAAACATGTAAAAAAACAATGATAAATAGTAAAACAAGGAAAAACTATGAAATTTTATTGATTAGATTTATCGTTCAAAATGTTGTTGACAATCCTGCTTAGGTTCGTACGTCGGATCCTCCTGGCATTGCGTCTTTCCATTATTGTAATTAATAATTATTGATTATTTATATCTTTAAGTTCAATTCATTGTGGTTAGATTTTCATTGTTTTCAATATACAATTCCAAACAATTGTGTTTCTCAAGAACAAATCAAACTTTTTTTTGTTTTTTGAATTGTATTGAAATATCCAATCATTAATCATTTATAGGGTATAAAAGGCTTAAAAGTTTCTTTCCTCATAGCCACAGGAAAACATATTCCGTATTCTTTCTAGCATGGTAATGTTTAAAAGTAACATGGCAAAGGTGTAGTTTTTATCGTTAATGTAAAAGTTAAGAAAAAAAATGATTTACCACTTGAAGCAGTCCGATTCTTTTAGGTTTGAGGAACAATTATTCAGTCATAGGCCAAATATGAACAGTAACCACTAATATAATATGAAATCGGTGGATAAAACGTATTCTGAGAAACACGGACCGTCTAATTCTGGTGTTAAGAGACCACTGACATGGGATTCACCACAAGTCCTGGCCGGCTTCCAACACCTCCTTCCCCCACGAAGGGAAATATTAAAAGATTTTGTCTCACAGAAGAGACAATCGGTGGAGAAACCCAAGACTTACAGCTCGCGTGTCGTTTTAAAATTCGTGAGAAGGTGGTTCCATCTGTGACGGAGAGATTCGACAGTCTGCCACATCTCCATCGCCTGAGAACCGCCCAACGCGACCATATCTCGGCCAGCTCCTGCTATACTGTTGACCACACTGGGGAAAAAAATAAATGTGTAATACATAAAGTGAAATTTTCCATAAGTATATGAGAAGTGATGAAATTTTAATTATATACCTATCCTCGCTGGTGTCATGAGTACCAAACTAGCGAGGACAGGAAGACCAAAATTATCAGAACAAACTAATATAAAAATTTACCCTGTTTTTGTAGTTGCTTGTTTCTCAAGGTCTCTCATTTTAGCTTTGACTTCCACTATTGAATATTTGTTCGGGTCCAAATCTCTCGTCGACTCTTCCATACTCGACAGCCAATTGCTGAACTTTTCACAATTTTTTCTCAGAGATTCCCACTGTTCTTTGCATTTTGTCAAATGGCTTTAACAAAGAAAACAATTTTTTAATTTTTTTGGCGGGAAATTGATGAAAATTTCCCTACCTCCAACGGTCTGTTAAATTCGTATTGGCCGAGTCCCATTCCTGCTTCAACCTGTCAACAGCTTTGACGACGTTTTCCCTTCCTTCTCCGTGTACCTTGCGCAAAATTTTATTCCTCTTCTGATCAATCTTATCGGCGTCGAGTTTCAATTTGGATAATTTCTCATGGATATCCTTGAATAGCAAAAAAAACTTAGAATCAGACGAGTTTCAAGATCAGACCCATTTCGATATGTGTAGTTATGATTTTGTCGTAATAATAAATTTAGAAGTAAGTGTATTTGTTGCAACAGTCATTTCTAAAGGAATTGCGTCTTTGTTGACTTTGTCGTAAAAATCAATTCTGGCGTAGCTATGATTTTGTCGTAATAATAAATTTTGAAGTAACTGTATCTGCCGTGATAATCTATTGTAAATTTCATGTAGTAGTCAATTCCGTAAGAGTTAGTTCTTTGTAGATATTGTCGTAACAGTAAATTCTAAATTAGTTATATATTTGTCGTAATAATCAATTCTGGACCTGATGTAGTAGTCAATTCTATAGGAGTTATTTCTTTGTTGATATGGTCGTTACAGTAAATTCTGGATTAGTTGTATTTTTGTCGTAATAATCAATTCTGGACTTGATGTACTAGTCAACTCTATAGTTCTTTCTTTGTCAATATGGTCGTAACAGTAAATTCTGAATTAGTTGTATTTTTGTCGTAATAATCAATTCTGGACTTGATGTACTAGTCAACTCTATAGTTCTTTCTTTGTTAATATGGTCGTAACATTAAATTCTGAATTAGTTATATTTTTGTCGTAATAATCAATTCTGGACTTGATGTACTAGTCAACTCTATAGTTCTTTCTTTGTTAATATGGTCGTAACATTAAATTCTGAATTAGTTACATTTTTGTCGTAATAATCTATTCTAGACTTGATGTAGTAATTAATTCTACAGGAGTTATTTCTTTGTTGATATGGTCGTAACATTAAATTTTGAATTAGTTATATTTTTGTCGTAATAATCAATTCTGAACTTGATGTAGTAGTCAATTCTATAGTTCTTTCTTTGTTAATATGGTCGTAACAGTAAATTCTGAATTAGTTGTATTTTTGTCGTAATAATCAATTCTGGACTTGATGTACTAGTCAACTCTATAGTTCTTTCTCTGGTAATATGGTCGTAACATTAAATTCTGAATTAGTTACATTTTTGTCGTAATAATCGATTCTAGACTTGATGTAGTAATTAATTCTACAGGAGTTATTTCTTTGTTGATATGGTCGTAACATTAAATTCTGAATTAGTTATATTTTTGTCGTAATAATCAATTCTGAACTTGATGTAGTAGTCAATTCTACAGGAGTTATTTCTTTGTTGATATGGTCGTAACATTAAATTCTGTATTAGTTACATTTTTGTCGTAATAATCTATTCTGAACTTGATGTAATTGTGATTTATATAGGAATTATTTCTTTGTTAACTTTGTCGTAATGACCATTCCTGAAATATTTATGTAATTTTCGTAACAATTTCGCACGTGCATACTTCTGCTCGTTCCCCAGAGAAATTTGTCAAGAAAAGACCCGGAATGGTACAAATTTTTCAAGAAAATCATTTAACTCACTTTCAGAGCATCTTCTTGGAGGTCGAACGGATCGAAATCTGTCGAGAGAGGAGGCTGTTTAAGTTTCCTCGCGATGGACGAAATAGAATCGCGAACTTTGTTCACATGTGCGACATAATCAGCCGGGGAATCCATCATGTCCTGTTTAAAATCGCCGACCTTATCCGCGTTCTTCTCTGTGAGCTTTGGATTCGCTTTGAGCGAGTTTAACTTATTGCTGAGCGATTTCCAGGCTGCTGGAAGCTCTCTGCTGTCCGTCATTACCCTGAGATTGGCCAGTTCTCCTGTTATGTCAAAAAGGCGAGAAACCGACTCCTCACAAGCGCCATATTCAGACATAACAGACTAAAAAGGTCAAAGAAAAAAATATTCGTAAGTCGTAAATGATGAAAAAAAAAATTTCCATGCAAAAGTTATTAAGTTATCAACAAAGAATCTAAAAGTGTTAGTTACCTGCAGTTTGGCTTCATCAGTGTTAGCTTGTTCTAATTTGCTGTTTATGTTAGTAATTTTAGTATTAATCTTACATATTAAATTGTGATATTCTGTTAACAAATATTCTGCTCTCTGTGCGTCAACTTTGTGAGCCTACATTATAAGGGAAAAAACACCAAGAAAATTATAGAAAAATACAAAACACGTTAGTCCTTAATGTAATTAACCAAACCTCTGTTTGCTGCATGACCTGGGCCCATTTAGCTCTAAGTTTGTTCTGACAGGATGATGTAAGCAGCATGGCTTTTTCAGGGCAAGAGCAATGGACACGAAGTATAAGCCCATCGCCTCTGCTTATTAAAGTGGCCGCGTCGGGAGCGATCTGACTTATTTCTCTTTCTAACACCTATAAAAATAAAATTTTAAATTCTGCGATTTTAATATCGATAGAGAGCATCACCTCTAAACGTCTACCAGGATCCTTTTCGTTCGTGACTAGTTTAACGACTCCTAAAGTTCCTTCCATCCTTTCTAGCATTTCGGAAGCAGCCTCTTCATATTCGGCGACTTCCTGGTCGAGAGGGAGCGAGGGGGAGTCGGCAAAATTGTCAACAGTCCGGGTCGCAGACATCGGGTCGAATCCGTTGTCGTACATCACGGAGGTCTTCCCCTGTGAAAAATCGTAAGTTTATCAAACATTCGGTTTAAAAATCGCCATACTAGACGTCTCAGATTCATGTTAAACTGAACCTTCAAATTTGGTCAATATTGTCTGTTTCCTCCTATACTGCCGATATTCTTTGTGGCATACCTTCAATTAAATGGCTGATATATTTAACAGAACGCTATGACTTTAAAAGAAGGTTGGTCCAGTCAACTGAACTCTGTCAATCATCGATAGATAAATTAGATTATAAAGTTTTAACATCAGCTTTGGTTCAAAAATGGGACAACTTTCCAGAAGTGGAAATCAATATTTTTCAAAGTATGCCATGATGAATATCCACACATTCAAGAACTAAAGGAAGAAATTCGAAAGATTGACCAAATTGAAAATAAATTCATCTCATTCATTTATGTCAGTTTTATTTTTTGTCCTTTATTCCTTTAAAATTAAAATTAAAATACAATAATTTTAAAAAGTCACGTATTAACACTATGTAAATGTAAAATAATAATGTGTTGCTTCAATTTTGTCCGCCAACGTATTTTTGATACCCTTACCATAATTTATTTCCTATGAAATTCCACGTAAGAAAATTGTTACAATTATACACACAAAGACAAAATGTAGAAATAGTGCCAAAATGTAGTGCCACTAGAACGGGTATTATAACTGCTCATTCCTAAGATATTAACATTTTTGGGCAAACTTTGTTCCGGTGGCACTGTACTACATTTTGTTTAGTGACATTAAACCCTGTACCACTCTTTTTATGAAAAAATATCCTCTTATAAATTTGTCTAAATTTTATAGTATTCACGTGTAACATTTAATTCCATAACCTATTAACCTAAATGAAAAAAAGCCCACAGAACAAAGCGATTCTTAACTATATACAATACTAAATTTTAACAACCTTCAATGGTCTATGAACTAATTTATCATTCATTTATTATACAAACTTATGATCAAAAATAAGCGAAAAAAGACGAGCTATTAATATGGAAAAAATACAGATGCAGGGTGTCCTTTTTAGATGGCACGGCTGAATTTCTCTTGAGCCAATGAGGCTATCAAAAAAAAAATACACGTTCATTTTTTAAATAAAAATAATATTTAATTTATAATACAATTCGTATTTTTTAAATAAAAAATATTTGATAGCATCATTGGTTCAAGAGAAATTTAGCCGGGCCATCTAAAAAGGACACCTTGTACAAAGTAAAGATCATGGATATATTCAATGAGCTAAGCACTTAGTCTTAGTCGTCACCAAAAAACCGCAACTATTGAATGGTTAATGAAAATGTACAATAGGGGACGTCGATGGACGCAACGGTTTAGGCGGCTCATCACTGTAAGATAAAGGTTCCAGGTTCGAATCTTGCAAAAAAACCGACATACTTACATTTTTTTTCCAAAAACACCGGTACCGCGAAGGTTAATATAACTGCTGTTGCCAACCCTCATAAAAAAATGTACAATTTAAAACAAATTAACAAATCTACATTTACCTTTCAATTAGCAAAACAAAAACCGAATTAAGCTTTAATTACAAGGGATGTGTTTCGTGAAAAACCGTCTAGCTGTGTTAAATAAATTATATCATGCATAAGAAAATATATTTACATTTATTCTCTATTTATCATTATAAAGTACACATATATGTAAAGTATAGAATTTATCAGTTCATAAAGAAGACTGGTAGTCTTAATATTTCAAATTGGATTAAAACCTGATACACAATCCTGTATTTAAAATGGTTTAATTTAGTTTCGAGATGGTTCAATTTTGAAATAATTTATTTTACATATATTTATGTTAATGATTGTTCAATTTTATTAATTATTGTAATATTGTACTGTTTAGTGTAGTGAATAAAGGAATTCAGTGACGTCACACTTGACACACCCATTGCTACTGAGAAGGTTTCGTAACCTGACCTAATCATAGCTCATACAAATCTCACCAATTCCACCAGTGATAACGCATTCAAAACCTGCCTATTTCACCAGGATACATATTTATTAGTATGTAATGCTTAATTGTTCGTTGTTTTAGGTCGATGAAGCATGAATAAAAAGGTTCAAAAGGCTCTAATATATGTAGGAAAACGATACGTACTTTCATCGTCGAAAATCCAAACCAGGATCGAAGTGCCTAAGTGGATCTACTTCCACAAAGATTCAGACAGTCAAAAAAAACAGGAATTGTTAAAAGATCTGTCTATAAGCAATGATTTCATTGACGACGACGAGGAGAAAAGCATAATGGACGAAATCGGCCCTTACTTGAAGAGGATGAGGTATGAGTATGATCACTGGGACAATGCGATACATGGTTTTAAAGAAACGGAAAAGCTTGAATGGAATGCGAAAAACAGCGAAATATTGAAACGAGTCAGGGAGTTCGCTTTTCCAGAAGGATCCGGCCAACTTCCCCATGTCCACATATTAGACCTTGCGGAGAACGGTTACATAAAACCGCACACGGACAGCGATCGCTTCTGCGGCGATGTGATCGCAGGCTTGAGCCTCCTGACTGACTCCGTAATGCGATTCATAAAGGCCGATGATATTACTTTCGATGTCAAGCTGCAGAGGAAGTCCCTGTACATAATGAAAGGCTGTGTAAGATATGACTTCACCCATGAGATTTTGTCGAATGAAAATTCGTATTTCAACGGTGAGAGAGTCGAAAAGAAAAGGCGAATTTCGGTCATTTGCAGAAGTGAACCTCGATGAGAAACTAGAAATCATCAATCATTGTCAAAAACCTGTCCTTGCGTTTTGATCACCCCTTGATCGCAGATCATTTTTGACAACAAAAATTCTCTAAAAAAAAGCCAGCAATGATAATCAGGGATGATCCAGTGCAGACAATTTTATTCAATAGTATATATACTTTAGATAAATATATTATTTATTTAAAACAAAATTGTATTTATCCCACCCTCACATTAGGTATACGATTTAAAAAATTTCCTGACAATAAGAGGCATTAAGGGTACTAAAAGCTTTTAATAACATCTTGAATGACCTTTATGCTCATTCATTAAGAAAAATTCACTTTAAAGACTGTAAATTTAAAAATTTGAGACCTGCCTGAGTCAACAAGCTTGATAAGCGGTCATTCTATGTAAAGTTGGCTTTATGAAATTAAAAGAAAAAAAAAGTAATTACTATCAAATGGGAGAGCTTAAGGTTTAACTAAGCATCGGGTTTGCAGACCAGGGGTCAAACGGCTGTAAATATTTCATTTGAGATATTCTCAATTAATTGTCCATCTGCTGTGCAATGATTCATAGGCAGAACAGTGTGGCCATTTTTGAAATTATATCAAAATGAAGTCAATAAAAAGGCACATTTTCGTTCATTTAGCCAATGAGAGAGTTGGGAGTTATGACAAAAGTTACATCAAGTGCACAATGACCAGTGTATGGATGGCCTAATTTAAGATCAACCCACATCATTTATGACATTGTCTTTGTAAGAGAAATTGAAGACAGTAGCACCATTTTTATTGAGAGTTACAATAATAGTCAATTTATTATCACCCTTATCATTTATAATGGCATTGTCTTTGTATGACAAATTCAAGTCAGTAGTAGTTAGGTTATCGTTTTTATTGATTATTACAATAATAGTCAATTTACGATCACCCATATCATTTATAATGGCATTGTCTTTGTAAGAGAAATTCAAGTCAGTAGTAGTCAGGTTATCATTTTTATTGACAGGTACAATAATAGTCAATTTATGATTACTCAGATCATTTATAATGGCATTGTCTTTGTAAGAGAAATTCAAGTCAGTAGAAGTTAGGTTATCGTTTTTGTAGACAGTTACAATAATAGTCAATTTAAGATCACTTGGGACATTTATGATGGCATTGTCTTTGTAAGAGAAATTCAAGTCAGTAGTAGTTAGGTTATCGTTTTTATTGATTATTACAATAATAGTCAATTTACGATCACCCATATCATTTATAATGGGATTGTCTTTGTAAGGGAAATTCAAGTCAGTAATAGTTATGTTATCGTTTTTATTCATAGTTACAATAATTATTATTTAGGTTACTGTTTAATGTCACTCAGATCATTTATCAGGTGTGAGGCAAACTAAAAGTTGTACAAATTCCTTAAAAAGTAAAGTAAAGGTGTTCCTTCTCACAGCAGGAAAGATTTGAGGAAAATTATACCTATAATCAACAATCATTTAAAGAAAGGCTGGGCAGAGATAGAAACACGATGACTCTGCCAAGAGACCACAGACATCTGCACATTTGTGCCTCTGATTTAAACATTTCACTAAGGCTATTCTCCATCAAAAGGCACCGAGGAAAGTCCTTAGTTTTATGAGTAAAAGCGCACTTTTCACTGTACTGTTTTTAGCATAAGGGCCTAAACGTTAAATTAATTGAAATATATTATTTCACTCCCGTTTGTGCGCATATTTGATAGTTACATATCATTGCAACATGCATCCTTGTAAACTTATTTTATATCAATCCTCATCCTTTAAATTTGTTACATCCCAAAGAACACATATTCCACTATACGATTTTTACAATAAATAGTGATCTCTTTCAACAAATATGAACTTTAAATTCTAGCATAATTTCCATAAAATTGAAAATTTCTGCCAAACATAAACATGCGATCTTGAACACGCCCTTATAAAAGTGCAATAATAAATTTGTTTTCCCTTAATTAAACATTTAAAAATGTGTTATTGTAGAAGTGTCAGGTTTAAAACAGATTAAGACAAGTTTGAATATTAATTAAAGAAAATAAATAAAAATTTTATCTATCGTACCTTCGGACTGTCATTACTCATGTCATCTTCGTTTGTGTCAGAACTTGTATCTTCATTTCTAGTCTCGTCTTCGGAAAACACTACAACATCATCAGTTTCTTTGTCACTTCCATAAAAGCTGTCGTTGTCTTCTATTGGGCTCGATGGTGCATCGTTTTTTGAAAAGTTTCCGATTATCTCATACGTTTTTGAAACTTGTACTTCCTTGCTTAAAGTAACTTCAGGGAGATTTTCGTCTTTCCTCTGATCGGCAATGGTCGAAACTGTTGTCCATTGCATATGAGCCATTCGATCTGATATTTTGAGGCAGACTGGTGGTATTTCCATGTCCTGCTTTGGCGCCGGAGACTCAGGCAGTTTTTCTTGAGTGTCTTTTGAATTGTCTGTTTCTACTTTCTGACGCTTGGACAAAACTTCTTCAGATGGCAAGAATTGTTTGTTCTTCGACGACACGACTCTTCTCACCGTTCTAGGTGATCTCTCGTCTTTCTGATCTACATCTGAATCTTCTGCTCCGGAATCGAAAATTTCAACGATTTCCACAGATTCAGGGCCGCCTATAGAATGCTCCATAGGCTCTATCGATGTCAGGATTGATTTTTTAATTTCCATCTCTTTCACTTCGACCATCTGACAACTTTTGTTTTCAGAATCTAAAATTTTTTCAGAAGACACATTCGACTCGTTTAATGTGTTGTCGGATACTTGAGAAAACAGTGTACTCTCCTTGGCCAAATTGAACGTTTCTGTCTCCATCTCTTCAGGGATTGTTTCAATATAATCAACATTTTCGTAAACACTCCCACGGTTCGCTGTCGATTTTGGCGCCTTGGAGACCTTTTCCTTTTCGTGTTTTGAAAGCCCAGAATTCTTGTTCTCGTGGACTTCATTCTGTTCGACCTCTGTCACTGATATCGTCGGTATTTCTTTCATGTCGCTCTCAGTCGACCTTTTTTCTTCAATCTTGGCAACTTTAGATTTCTCAATACCCTGAAAAATCTCTTGGGTTCAAATCTTTTTCATTACAATCGTGCAAGGGTTGCAATTTTTTTTTTTTTTTTTTTTTTTTATTTATATCCATCACCATTCTTCATACATGATTTGAACACAGGACATTACAAACTGACAAGTTATTAGTATTTATCATTAGTAATATGAAGCATGTTATATCGAAAGTAACCAGCCCTCCAGCCAAACAAGCAAACAGCCACCGTATTACAGTAATCCAGAAGAAATCACACATTAAATATGTTCCAATGCTTTGTGCACGTTAATACCTCCAACCATACAAACCTTCATTTATAAAAGAATGTTGTTTGTTTTCTTAACAATGTCTGTAAATTATTTAAATTTTTCTTTAAAATGCTGGACTGTGAGTATTGTCAGAAAACATATTTACTTTAAAGTTTGGTTTATAAAGTTTAAAGAATTGGTGAATAATTTATATTGCATTAGTCCAGAGATCATTAGGTGGTCAATTCCCATATATCCAAAATGTGAAGAAAAACACCTGAACTTAAGCGATAATTTTTTTCCTATCTAATAATAAATAAATTTATTACAAATGCAATTTAAAAAGATATATCAAAGATATATTGAAGAAAAAAATATTTGTAGTGTTTAAACATCGAATGACTATCAAAATAATGACTAATAAAAATAGATAAATCATACATATTTTTATGATCTACAAATTAGTTTCAATAAAACAATGTTCAATTTGAGATAAGTAGATGATACAAATTGATTTTGTTGTTTATTTCTACTGAAAAGATCAATCGAATAAAAACTTATGTTGTCGTTTTGACAATCAATGTTTTGAATGTTTGTGAGTTTGCTAGCAGTTTGATCGCCCTCGGTTTGACTTACACCAGAATCGAAAAAAAGGAACAAGAAGTAAGTGACAACATGCGGACATACAACGAAGTACTCAATGCACTGTCAAAGAGATTTGCAGAATTGATTGTTTTTTTTAACCTATCAAGTTCAAAAAAGAAGTGCTAAGTCAACTATCATTATTGTTAAAAATCTTTATGCATTTGAAGATTTTGTTAACATATTGTGCATACAATGTTAATTTAAGATCGAATTACCTCCAACTGTCCTAACATGAGTTCAAGCCGTTTGGATACGTTTTCAAATTTATTTACACACTCGGACACTCTATCCTTTAAAGTTTCCAGATAAGTAACATCGCAGAGCGTCAAGAACTTTTTATAACCATCATTAATCTTATCTTTTGTTATTTGTTGTTTCTTCCACTCATCTAAAGTTTCCTACAAAAATTTTAAAAAAATGTATAAGTCAATCATTTGCTTAAATTATAGTTAAATTTTTTTTTTACTTTGACAAATGTGATTTCAGCCGAGATATCTCGGTCATTTGAAGGTGTGGCTTCAATCTGTTCCAAATCATTGTTGATAGCTTGCGACCAAGAGTTCAAATTTGTCAAATTCGACTGTAAGTTCTGTGATACTTCTAAAGCGTTTTCCAACATAGCTTTGGACGATGTGATTTCCTCTCCTAACTAAAATTTTAAAAAATTTAAAACCAAGTGATGTTTATTTTTAATCAAAAAATTATTACCTTATTGTAGAGCTGTTTTAATGTGTCAAGCCGAATTGTATACTGTTCAGCGTCTACTATCACATTGTCTTCAACCATCTTCCTTCCTGACTTAATGATATTTTCAACTTCAGCTTTCAAGTCACTTAACATCTGATAGAATCTCTAAAAAAAAAAAATTAAGCATGGATATTAATATTACATAATTTATTCTTGAAGTCTACGGTAAGATGTACAGTTGTTTCTTATTATTCGAGCCTCTCTACTCACTGTTTTGGACTTTCAGACAAATTTCATAAGGCACTATCTTTATTCTGTCTGTTCTGAATGATCTTAAATTGGTTATTATTGTAACCTAACTACTACTGATTTGAATTTTTCTTACAAAGACAATGCCATCATAAATGACCCGAGTGATCGTAAATTGATTATTATTGTAACTGTAAAAACGATAACCTAACTACTACTGACTTGAATTTCTCTTACAAAGACAATGCCATCATAAATGTCCCAAGTGATCTTAAATTGACTATTATTGTAACTGTCTACAAAAACGATAACCTAACTACTACTGACTTGAATTTCTCTTACAAAGACAATGCCATTATAAATGATCTGAGTGATCATAAATTGACTATTATTGCACCTGTCAATAAAAACGATAACCTAACTACTACTGACTTGAATTTCTCTTACAAAGACAATGCCATTATAAATGATCTGAGTGATCGTAAATTGACTATTATTGTACGTGCCAATAAAAACGATAACCTAACTACTACTGACTTGAATTTCTCTTACAAAGACACTGTCTTTATAAATGATCTGGGTGATCTTAATGACTTGAATTAAACTGCAAAGATCTTGTTAGTATTTAATCTGAATTGTCTTATGTCGACTATTAGAACAAACCCTACTGACAACTTGAATTAACTACTACTAAAAAAAAGTCATTATAAGATCTGAGTGATCATAAATTATCTATTATTACAACTGTTAATAAAAAATGACCTATCTACTATTGCATTGAAATATGCTATGAGATAGAGTCATTAATAAAATGTCATTAACCAAACGAGTCTGACAGACCAAGACATTAAACGCCCAAAATGATTTGAAAGAACAGCAATAATAATTATACCATGCAGTGATTTAATTGTCCCTGGATTGCTTCAGGCTCGTCTGAAGCCAGATCTAGAAGGCAGCAGGCATCTTCGACGCCTCTGAGTTCCCTCAAAGCTCGACACAATCTCGGTTCAACATTATTGGCGCTTCTCCAGTCTTCGAATCTATCCATTACTTTCATGAAATGAGCCTTTAAAAAGAAAAAATTAGAAATGTATAGTTAGAAATGAGTTAAATTCCATGTACCTTAAGAAGAACCATCTGCTCATGGAGCCTTAGGGCCGCTTCGACTTTCCCCTCTGATTTGTAACGCTTCACTTCTTCCTCCATCTCTTTCAACGTATTCGCTTGTTTTTCAAACTCGTCAAGCATTCTTTGAACATCATCCGGAAGATCGTCGGATGTGAGGTCGTTGTCGATACGCGAGTTGATCTGAGCCGTAACGTGATCGAGCCATTCTTGAAACTGGACTATATTCGTCTCGGACTGTTTCGCCTCTTCGACTGATATTTCAAGAATATGCGCTCTATCTTTAGCCTAAAATTATATCAGTTAGTTACACTTGAAAGCTTTCGTTTTTTTTTAACAAATAAAAATTACCTCTTGGCATAATTGATGCCACCTTGCAGCTACAGCGTTCATCTCTTCGTTAATATTATCTTTCATGACGTGCACATCAACTAAATGTTTGCCGAATTCTTCAAGCTGTATTATTCTACCTTCAGAATGGTTGTTTATGTAATTTTCTAAATCCTAAAAATTAACACTATGACAATGAAAATATATACAAAACATATTTTCAAAAAACTTTATTATTAACTTTATTATTTAAACTATTGAGTAATTATAGAAAAATTAGGCTTGACTCGAAAATTCATACTTAAACACACTTACATCTAAATCTTGTGAAATTTCTTCTGCATCGGCAGCTGACGTAGGGGATTTTCTAAGCCGTTTTTCAAGCTTGTCCAAATAAACTGTTTCCTTCGCCACAAGTGCTAAATTTAAAAAAATATATATATAATTTTTTTCCAATAATTATAAAGAAAAAAATTTTTTTTAATAAAGTCAACCTCGGAATTCTCCGTATTTATACGATGCGTCTTGTAGTAAATTATGGTGCTGGACAACAACCGTTGTAATAGACATCCACAATTGGCTTAGAGTTTCAAGTTCTTCGTACAAAGGATGAGCTTTTGAGTGGTTTACAAGCTCATTGACCAATTCAGTACCTAATGTGATAAAACTTTGTTTAATTATCCACAAAAATGTATTTAAAAAAAAAATAAAAATACAAAACCACCATTGTTGTATAAATGTCTGAACTCGTGGCTCCTTTTGTCGATGTCATCTTTTAAATGTTGGTACTTTTCTTTAAGTTTGAAAAGCTCGCTTGAATCTTTAACTTCCAACTGGCCGTGGTGGCATTTCAAATTGACATCGATTAGCCATTCTTTGACTTCTTTTATTTGAGACAAAACCTATAAAGAGAAAACATCGTTTTATTTAAAAAGACATTTGTTCACCTAACAAATAAAAAAATTAATTAATTAAAAATAAATTTTTAAAAAAGCATAAACATAAACACATAAAATTTACAAGGTTGAAAATTAAACAATTTTAGCCTATTTATGCTTGATGAGTCATAAAGATAGGGGTGGGCACCCTGAAACGAAATTATAAGCTGACTCATCCCCCCTTTATTTTAAATTAACCCACACTGCCAGTTAAGAAGTTCCTCTTTAAATAAAACATCAATTGAACCTTTGATATTTGGTCCTCTTCTTCTTTGCTCAACGTTCTCTCAACTGCATCCTCAACACTTTCATCCACGGTTTCTCTCATCAGGGATGTCTCGAGGTCCATGTGATTATTGTCATTACCGGCTGATAGATACTTTTCTTCTGTTTCAACCCTAAAAATATTAAAATATGAAAATTGTACTTTTTTTAAAGATATATTCTTGTTACCTTGTCACTATCTCACTAATTGTTGAGGCGAGTTTGTAACATTTTTCTTTCAACGAATTTGTCTCTTCACAAGGCATTTTCGACGATATTTCACTTATAAGTTCATTCAACTTGATCATTTCCTGCTCCTTACTTCTCAACAGGTTCAGCATTTCCTAAGATTAAATATTTACAAAAACAATTAAAATTGAAAACATTAAAATATAAAAAAAAACTTACTTTGCCTGATTGTAATGATTCAATTTTATTGCTGCACAAATCGGAAACGTACTGTTCAACGCTGCCGATATGAGACCAATGCTCCTGTAATTCCGGTATCATTTCGTTTGGTATCTGCCAAGCCCTTGTGGTTGAAATGGTAGACGGTTTGTCTGATATAACCGGCCTTAGCTCAAAACCGACATTATTTATCTGTTCAAACAATTTTTTTAAAAATTTAAAACAAACCCGAAACTATTTGAAAGGTAAAAAAAAAAAAAATGAACCCTGTTTGCTTGGATGTCCATCATTAACTGAACAGCTTCGCATCTATCTGTGATGGTCTCGCACCTGCTGAGATATTCATTGATTGATTGTTCGCCAAATTCTTTGCTAATCTCTTGAAGCTCGTTCTCGATTTGATTCGTCGTTATGTGATAGTTGTCCAAACAATGTTGTACTTGCTGAAATATATTATTTTTAATTAATTGAAAGAACCAATGAAATCATCATGAGGTCAGCGTATAACTATGATGCACCAGCCAGAGTTTTTGCTAATGTGATGTCTGGAAAAGTTATTTTTGTGACTAATTATTTTAATTAAATTCTGCCAATTTTTCCCACCTGAAGCTCTTTGATCCTTTCCAAAGTTTCGCCCATCCGGGAGGTAGGCTGAACTTCCATGATTTTCAACCTCCTCTCGTGCTCGCTGATGGCGTTCTCCAGAGTTGTCAGGCTCTGTTCAATCTCTGAAACTTTATCGATAAACGTCTGAAGTTTCGAGCCCCTTTCTTGAGCCCACTGGAGAATGTGCGACCACCTTTCAGCCAGAGCGGACAGTTGGTCTTCAATCTGAGATTGCGCTATGAAATTTAAAAAAAAAATTAAAAAGTCATTTAAATGAAATTTAGAACAATTTTATTTACTTTCAGCAGTGTTGTCATCAATGATAATAACAAATTGTGATAAAGTGTCAACGACTGCTTGTTTTTCTTCAATGTCTTTCAGCAGTTGATTGTGGGAATGAAGCTGCTGCTTCAACGAGCTGGACAAGTCTGTATTAACTTCTGCCATTTTTGAAATCCTGTCTTCGATCTGTGTCATCCACTGTTTAAGTGATTCGATTTCCATGTCTTGCAGGGTCATGACCGCCTCGTATATCCTTAAAACCGATGTATAAATGTTGATAATTGAATTATGGAAATTTAATATACCTTGATTGTTTTTGTATGGCGTTCAGCCTGAGAGTTTCCCATCTTGAATTGAGCAGCCTCATCTGAACCCTTACTTCTTCTTCCTCTTCTCTCGTAAGACCTCCTTCACCTAACATCCTCACGCCTTCTTTCAAAACGGCACTAACACCATCTCTGTGCTTGTACAATTCGCTTATAAAAGCCTAAAAATAAGAATTTATTTAATTATTTGACTTAATTTGAACATTTTAACCCTTAAATGTTAAGTTAACCTCGTGATTGCTAAACTGAACTTTAATCTGCTCAAGATTGTTGGCCAATGGTTGTTCAACAAGAAGTTTGTCTTCTGCTTCTAAAAGCCAGGTTAGCACTTCTTCCAGAGCCACCTGGTACCCGCCAAGCTCGACTGAGACATTTGTCGCAACACTTAGCGGACGTCCGCTCGAACTGCTTTCACACTCCGTCTGAGACAACTCGGACATGTTGTTCCTCTGCAGCGAAGACTGCGGAAGAGATTGAAACAGACACATCACGTACATCATCACAGATTTCTTGTCAGGCACGGCAGTATTGACGTCTGAAAATTTTTAATTTGAGTACTGGTTTTCAGTCGATCTTATTGATCTTACCTTCAACATCGAGTAATCTTTCAATATTCAAATGTTCCTGGGCGATACTGAAAGCATGCTCAAGTCTGGCATTTGGCAATTTTCTCATGATGCTCGGATAGTCAAATAATTCAGGTCGGTAATTATGGATAAGAGCATTAAATGCACAACCATCAGACCAGCTTGTTGTAAAATTATTTACTGTAACTCCATATTTCTATAAAAAAAAATATTAAAGCATATATTTCGTACAGCTCCTCACTGAAGATGGCTTGAAGGATGTATGAGTGAAATCTAAACCATTAACAATTATGAACCCAGTAAAGTGATCAGTCTTACCATTGTGTTCTGTTTGCACCAATTCAACAAAGTTTTCTCCAAATTGGTCTGTTCCAGGTCTGACATATGTTCCTTTATCGTCCAGTGGACCTAGGCACGCAAAAGAAATTGTATAATAATATCAAACGACAAGGGCAAATGAAGCTTACCTGCCAGTGCATTATAATGCTCCATACAAGTCCGAGTATTAATTTTGTATTCCCATCGACAATATCATTACTACTTATATTTACTAGTTTTACCTGAAATTTAGACTTACAGTTAATAACTATTGAGAAAATCGCCTTATTCGATTCATACATTGTTTTTTACAAGAATTTGTAAAGCCCTGTTGACATTGTTCAAGTGATGTACTCGCATTTGTCCCCTTTCTCTTTTCTGAAATTATGAAAAAAATTTATGAAATTAACAAATATTAAAATATTTTCTATGCATATGCTGAAAAAGCCATAGGGTCCAAAAATTGTTTGGCTTTTACATTATTTCTTTAATTAAACTTCTTGTGTTATGTGTGGTGTTTCTCTTCTTTCAGATACAATTATTTTCTTGACAAATATAAATTTTAGGGAATAAAAAAAAAACTTACAAACTCATTTCCAGTGAGTATTTCTAATAGAGTTAGAAGATTAGTCCCATCCTGAAGATCGACGACCAGATCAGAAATCGGACTGCACTTTTTCTGCAAAGATAAAAAAATTTAAAAGCAAATCAAGGCCTAATTGAACACAAAGTAGTCAGTTGAATTATTATCTTCTTGAAATCAATAAATTATAAACTTTTATGGAGAGGATTATACAATCATGAGTTTTATTGTAAAAATCAATGTCACTAGCGATTATATAATCTATTTGGTAAACTTATTTAATACATTAACAATTTTTGAATGAAGATATCAACACAGAACTATCAATTTTATTTTTTTTTAAATGCCATTGTCAATATATTTAGAAATTTTTTGACCATTGAACATTTTACAACTTGTCTTATTACATATTTTATCTTCTTATATAAAACAAATTAATCTGTGAAATTTTGCTGTTTATACCTTGGCCAGTTGTGAATTGATCCATTTTGCAAAGGTTTTCTTCTGGACATCTTCCCGTTCATCTGAAAAGAAAACGAAACCACGATTAATCAAAATGTCAAGGGAACAAGAATCACAAGAAATTCTTCTTCTACAGATGACTTATATTATATTCAGGGTTAAAGCATCTCCTGTGCACTGGAAAAGATTTTTATTTAGTGTAAGTAGGTGACTTTGGTACTTGCCACACAAAAACAAAATGAAAGATGCAACAGTTCGAAAATATTGTTTTTACTAATTATCGATGATTTTTGTTTTTGCATTACCTGGTAGTGTTCATGGGTTTGGGTAGATTAGGCAGGGAGGAAGTGTGATTTATGTAATGTAAAGTTAGGTAAGGCTAGGGTGAGTTTGGTTAGATAGAGTTGGTATTAAGGATGATTTATGTTAGGTTATATAAGGTTAGGGTTAAGTATGGTTTATGCTAGGTGGATAGGGTTACGGTTAAGGATAGTTTATGTTAGGTTAGATAGGGTTATGGTTAAGGATAGTTTATGTTAGGTTAGATAGGGTTAGAGTTAAGAATAGTTGATGTTAGTTAGATAGGGTTAGGGTTATTGGTGGTTTATGTTATGGAAGTTAGGTAGGGTTAGGTTAGAGAAGAGTTTGGTTAGATAGAGTTGGTATTAAGGATGATTTATGTTATGTAAGGTTAGGGTTAAGTATGGTTTATGCTAGGAAGATAGGGTTACGGTTAAGGATGGTTTATGTTAAGTTAGATTGGGTTAGGGTTATTGGTGGTTTATGTTATGGTAAATTAGGTAGGGTTTGGGTTAGAGACGAGTTGGTTAGACAGATTAGTGTTAAGGATGATTTGTTAGGTTAGTTAAGGTTAGGATTAAGGATGGTTTATGGTATCTTAGGTAGGGTTTGGGTTAAGGATGATTATGTTAGGTTAGATAGGGTTAGGGTTATTGGTGGTTTATGTTATGGTATGTTAGGTAGGGCTAGGAATTGGGAAGAGTTTGGTTAGGTAGAATTAAGAATGGTTTACGTTTTGTTAGATTAGGTAAGGTTATCATTATTCAATTATTTTACTTCAAACGGAGAAAATACGAGAGTACAGACAATATATTTTTTCCTTTGGTTATTCTAAATTATTCTGGTCTGCACTTTCAGCCCTATGTAAGCATCGTCAGTAGATGTCTGTGCGTTTGTCTCTTGTGTTTGACAAACAAAAGCATAAATTTAAATAATGCTCTAACTATACATTTATATCAAAATTAATGAACAAGACAAAAATGTATTTTCTGTCTAAGCTTCCAGAGGACGATTATGCATAAAAGCACACCGGCGATGCATGATCTTCCTGCTAATGGAAAAAGTAAAAACGAAACGTTTACCTAAGGCAATGATGAGAGAGAGAGAGACAATACACGAGTTACCCAATCAGCTATTTTTCAATATCCGGCAAGAGGATCGAACTCTGCCAGGTCTCTATGCTCTAGATTCGCGTATTGTGGTAGAAATTAGGACACTCTCAGGTGTTATTCAATACGTTCGTCGGGATAAAATTCTATATAACGCATTTCTTGAGGAGCACGCACTTAGTATTCAAAAAGGACCAAAGATATCTTCTTGCAAAAATATCAAGCCTTCAGGGGGGGGGGGGAATTATACAGTGTGTAAAACCGTTCTTGTTTTTGTTTTGTTTTTTTTCTGTAAAGCTATTTATTTTCAGAATAGGGGATCCAGTGAAACACACAGACACGTGCTCATTATGCAACTCACGTGCTGTTGAAAATCTAATTCGTTTCGTGGCCGAACTCAGCCAGTTCTCACAGGCTTGCGCCTATCCTCTTATTGCGCCGTCCAGCAAGTACGGAACCATTGGGTTAAATAAACACGCTTCACAAACTATTTGTTTTGCAAAGTTTAACGTCGGGTTTTCCGAGCGAGAACGGGCGGACCAGGATTATCAAGGAAGAAACCGCTGACTAATGTTCAACGGCCAAGCCACCCAACAGAATTTCACAACACGTTCTTTGTTCAGAAAAAATCACACCCAGAATGCTCAAGATTTGTCATGGGATTGTAAGTTTACAAAAACGGTCGCACTTTCACCAAATTCCTAAACACCATTTTAAAAATATTAATAACACCGCGCTTCCAATAGTTTTTAAACTGCCCACATCAGTGCTTAAAGATTTAACTTTGAATTTAAATTAATGGAAAAAATTCTTCCTAGACAAGTGCAATCCTCCGAGAGATTCGTTATCACTAACTCCAACCCTGGTGAGGTCAGACTCTATTTTATGACTCTTCCCGGAAAATAGTCTTTTAATCGTCCATAGATTAATTCTTGTGTACCAAAAGACGAATTGGCACAGTTGATTGCTGTTCTTTTATCCGATCCCATAGGTTTTATACATGGACCTGAACGCCATTGTTTTTAAAATATATTTCCTTGCGTTAATTAAACCGTGTCATCGTATTCTCGCTGTGTTCTGGTTTGATTGGTTGAAAACAGCTATCGTTAAACATTACTAGTTAAATTATTCGCTGATTGTATGTATAAAGTCAATTTAGTGTCTTTGTACAATAGTCTATTTTTGTTGAACGAAGTCAATTGAGAGTTAGAAAAGGTGTCCTTGTCGTAATAGTCAATTTTTTATTTCTTTGTTGGCTTACATCTCCCTTTGCCCTATAAATTCGAGAGATCTTTGTTTGTGTATTTTTTATCAATATGAATTAGACAATCAACTTTTTTTTTCTATAAAGCTATTTATTTTCATAATAGGGGATCAAGGGAAACACATCGTTAAACATAACTAGTTAATTCCATTATATTTAGTGGTCTATTGAACAAATTACATCTTTCAATTAATTAATCTTTTTATGTAAGGTTTTGGTTGAAATGAAAAAGTTAGTGCCACGAGCGGGATTCGAACCCACGACCTTCGGCTAAATACGCCGCTGCTCTACCATTTGAGCTATCGTGACTTCGATGGGGATTTGGTGCCCGAGTGGATCGAAGTCATGATAGCACAAATGGTAGAGCAGCGGCGTGTTTAGCCGAAGGTCGTGGGTTCGAATCCCGCTCGCGGTACTAACTTTTTCATTTCAACCAAAACCTTACATAAAAATGTGTGGTGATTAGTGACCGTTAATCGATATTTATTTAGAAATCGTGAGATTTCGTGGTGTGATGCGACCCTCGACACGACACGCAAGAATGGCACAATTACACAGAAGACAAACACTTTGAGCCCTGAAGATGATCTCAATAAAGGTCGAAACGTTGGCACGATAAAGAAAATGTTTTTCTGAAACTACATCACACCAGACCGCATCTCACGATTTCTAAATAAATAAACTTTACATAAAAAGATTAATTGATTGAAATAACTAGTTAAGTTATTCGCTGATTGTATGTATAAAGTCAATTTAGTGTCTTTGTACAATAGTCTATTTTTGTTGAACGAAATCTATTTAAAGTTAGAAAAGGTGTACTTCTCTTCTTCCATCTCCCTTTGCCCTATAAATTCGAAAGTTCTTTGTTTGTGTATTTTTTATCAATTTGAATTGTCATTTCAATTAGTCAATCAATTTTTTTCTGTAAAGCTATTTATTTTCATAATAGGGGATCCAGTAAAACATATCGTTAAACAAAACTAGACAAGTTATCCGCTGATTGTATGTATAAAGTCGATTTAGTGTTTTTGTACAATAGGCTATTTTTGTCGAACGAAGTTACTTTAGAGTTAAAAAAGTTGTATTTGTCGTAATAGTCGATTTTTTATTTCTTTGTTGGCTTACATCTCCCTTTGCCCTATAAATTCGAAAGTTCTTTGTTTGTGGTGGCTTTATCAGTTTGAACTGTCATTTTTGGCGGCGCTGTTTTTCGTAGGTTAAATGTAAAGTTAAATTTAGTATTTGTTTATGATGGTATCTCACAAGGGGACGATCAGGTTGGTAGGTCAGGGATTTGTACCAAACTTTTTTGGTGAATGTACACTCCTAAATAACATGTATCCGCCACTTTTTGTGAATAGGCCTTGGTTTCATAAAAAAAAAATTTTTGAAAGTTGAAATTTCATACAAAAATCCAATAAGAAATCCAATAACAACGTGTAAATTATAAACAGATTTAGGGGAATTCTTAATAAAGCGGTTTAATCGGATAAATCAAGATTTTTTTCAAAATTTTATTTTAGTCGCAATTAAATGAGTTTAAATCGTTATTTATAGATTTAAAAAAAACATTATTTTTGGTGTAATAATTTCATTGTTGGTTAACATAAAAACAAAAATGTTCTACGAAGCAAAATATTCTAATTTGGCATGATTTAAAAAGATATATCAACAAAATATTTTCTTTTTTTTTGCAAATTTTAAAAAGCATTCTGTATGCCAAGTAGGTCAGAAAATGGTCAAAACTTGATTTCGACCTCATTGTCGTGATTCTAGGATTATAAAATCCTTAGATGCCGAATTTCGTTGTAAATTAATTTTTTGACTGATAATTTCGACGGCTTCCCAGTGCAAGCTCTAACATTTTTCCCAAAAGCTTGTGGAACGATTTTTATGGTTGATAATTCGTTTTTAAAATTGTCAAGTTCATTTTATAACTGTGTCAAACATTAAAATCGTACAATTATTTCCATTTAAAAAAAGAGGTTAATTTTTAAAAAATTATTTTCCTATTTTGTGAATTTTCTTAAAAGCTTGGTTCCTCTTCTTTCAAATGGTATGTTTGACATTAAAAAAACGACTTTTCAAAAATAGGAAAAATTTTATGAGTCAAAAAATTGATTTATCATAAGCTTCTTCTACTATCTAAAATAACATAATAACCCATTTTCTAAATAGATTTTACTATGTCCCAACTATCGTAAAATCTACCAACCTATCATCTGCTCAGGTCTTAAGTCTTAACATCGAAAATAATAAAATAGACGATTTATTAGACAAATCTGGTCGCAATTATTACCAGGAAATGCTAAATACCGAACACTAATATAGCATAATCACCTTACCATCTTCTATCACCCAAACAAAAAGAATGCCCTATTTTCTAATT